TGATGTTTAGTAAGTAATACAGCTGTTTTCATTAGCACTTGTAGGACACATTTACACCACAGCAACGTAGCTGTAGTTCACTGGACAATTGCAGAGAGAAGTCTAGTGAAGTGCTTACAGAAGCAGTTGTGTTGCATGCAAATAAGCCGAAAAAGACTTTTCCAAAAGCATAACTTCCACTGTGCTATACTGTCAACTTCTATTAACATGAAATTCAAAACATCAGCCAGTAGTGGTGGAGATGCAGCTCATTCTTCCGTTACCAGTAGATTTGGTCGTGCTACAAGGTAGCTCAGCCTGGCCATCGCTGGGCTGCAGTTGTTTATCCAAGCTACCACACCTGGCCCCCTCACAGCCTACACTGTTTGCCATCCCCAGGATGTTAGCAGATCCACAGAAAACAAAACACACTCAGTGCAAGAGATACCAAGGAAACTACCTTCTTTACAAACTGTGGAAGGGCTTACTATCACTGCAAAAGGTAGTGGTGAGGCATTATCTGGAGTACAATGTCCGTTGATGCTGAGAGAAGGTGGTACTAGCTAGGAAAAGATTGTGAGAAGGTCCACCGGCACCACCAGAAGAGCCTGGAGCTGGCTTTATGGAGAATTTGGTTCATTCAGTTTTGCAAAATAAAAGTTAAAAGGAACTAAGACTGTTCTCTGTAAATTCTCCTTAGAGTTCATCAATCAAAGGGAAGAAGATTAAAGAAGCTAAAAATCAATCTGTATCCAAAGAATTAGTAACCATATAGAGAATAGTTTAAAATAGAGAGGTGCTGGAATTGAGATAAAGTTTTTCAGTATCAGATGCTAATGAAATCCAGGCATGTTCCCCAGGAGGGGACCAGAAGTCACTGGTTGTCACACAGCTCCTCGACAGCCTTCCATGGCCTATCATGGGGGAAGGAATGGAGACATGCAACTCACCTCTGCCTCCTCCCAGCAAAACACAGCTAGAAGACTGATTCAAAATCACAAAAAATATAAAGTGTTTTCTTGATTGAAAGCAGTTTGTATCAGGCTCTGAATTATCATGTGAAATATAGTATATCTTTAGGAAAAAGGTAATCACCCTTATTTTGTCTATTTTTATGCTATAGTCAAAAGCACAAGTTGAGATTTTAACTAATAAATGTTTATTGTAGAAAAAGAGAGAAAAAATATTTTTAGTGCCAAACACAGAGAAACAGATTATAACACAACAAAAGGGGAAGGGCTGGTTATAAAAATCAACAGCTTGTTATTTTAAAATGTGTTTATTTTCTGTGTTATTGCATGATTTTAGCTATTGCTGGATTGGCAACAGAGTTACAACATAAAAATTACATTAAACCTTTCTTCTTACTAAAAGTTTTCAGTTGCACTGAATTTTAAGTCAAACTATAAAGTAAACTCCAGTGACCTCATTTAAGATGGTAGGTTTATCAGTACATAGAGTCAGGGATAAAGCAGCAATTTCTAGGTGAGGACTGATGTTACATTAAACAGCGCTCCATGCGCTTCATGGGCAAAGCAAACCTTGCCCATAAAACCACTGGCGGGCAGATTTTTTTTTTGTAAAAAAACCAGCAAAACTGTTGCCTTTAAAAGCAATAGAAGAATTTATGGTCTCCGTAAATTAATGGCTCAGCTAATCTGTGTCTTTTCCAGTACAAGTTCCCTGGGAGACTGGGGGCAAGCCAAGGTGGACTGGAGGGGAAGAAAGAAACAAGAAAGGAATTATAAGCAGAGCTATTCTGTGTTTAAGCTCATTTACTACACAGAATGAATCTGGCCCTCAGAAAACAGGCTGAAGGATGATTTTAAGTAACTAAATCACCATTATATTTGGCTGGCAACCTACAAAAACAGTCATATTTTTATAAGTTATCAGTAACTCACACTAGTTGACTCTCCCTTCCTCCTCTGCTGAATAAACACTTAAAATTAACAAGTGTTGGAAAGGGAGACAATATTCTAAAATCTGGGCAGAGAATAATTGTGGAAGCAGCTGTCGTCCTGACATTATCGCAGAAATCAGAGATGGAAAAAATCCTATTAGGTCATATAGTCCCTCCCTTGGTCATTGCAGGACTTTTCCCTAACGTAGATTTTCCAGTGCCTTGCCCAATCTCATTTTGATACTATCTAAGTGATAGCTTCCAGCAGCCCCCTTGGGAGACTAGCCCTCTGCCTAGTAAGTATTGCTGTCATGATTTTCCCCCATTTTAATACCAATTTGCCCTATTATTTCTGTGTATCGCTAGTTTATATTCAAGATGCTAAGAAGTCCTGAAAAATGTTTCAGTATTCCAGACGATTCCACAAAAAAATACAATCTACAATGAAAAACAGCCATGGTCACTTTTTTCTTTTTTCTTCCCCGCCTCCCCCAGCCCTCCTGACCAGGAGAAATACACACATACCAACAAGCCAGCCTGTGACAAACACACACCGAGTTCAATATCAGACAGACGGAAGAGATCAGCCCCAATTCCAAGCCTTTCGAACAAGTCCATCTGCTGCAGATGAACAACAAATGACTTCACCGCGTTAGCTATAGATACAGTTTCTGTGTTCCTTCAAATCTGTTTGCTTAAGTCGTGACTTTAAGTCTAGCTTCCTAATGAAATGAGGTATGCATGCTACCTCTTCATCTGACTGCTCTTCACAGTTAATGCTGAAACTCAAGGACCATTCAAAGTGATCCCCCAAAGGCTCAGGGAAATCACAGGCTGATCACCATGGAAGGAATCTCACACTATGTGTCACCTCTTGAGCATGCAAACAGTCAGTGGAAAAGTAAAGAAAGCTCTTGAGATACTTCATGTGGAAACAAAGGGGATGGGAGCAGGTTTTGGGAAACGTCATGAGGAACAGCAGAATGCTGGGACATAGGACATGCACCCACATTCAAGCTTTGCTAGTTTTGTTGCAAACAAAACAGCCTAGTTTCATACAGACCATAAAGTTTCCAGGTTGCTGCAACAAGGCTCCAGGCATTAAGTATCATTGTACCTATTCAAATGCATTGTCTGCTTCATACTAACTTCATCCTATCTTTCCTATTTGACAGTGACACTATCTGACACTGCTGTGCTTTTTACAGATCAGGAAAGTCCTTTCTCCTCATCTTTTTTAAAAAAAGATTTCAGAATCTTGGATCATTATATTTTGCACAGTTAAATGCCACATTTTTCAATCAAAGTCACTCCCAGTCTGCTCCAATACCAAAGTCAGAAGAGAATCAGTGCCACAGCACTGTCATCAGAGCACAGGGAAAGGGAGAGGAGTGGAGCATAGATACATTCACTAACTGCAAACATCACCTACAACTACAGTGATATATGTAAACAGGCATGGTAAAATTCCTACAATAGTTTTAAAGAACTAACTTCTCTGAAGTTTGTTAATGGAACATCTACAATAAAAACAAGGCCTTCTCCTCCCATTCAGCATGCTCTCATGAAGCAGTTAGAGGACACGGATACAGGCACACGTGCCCCCAGGTCCCAGGAATCCAACTCAGCACTGTTACTACACCAATCTTGAAAACTCTTTTTTCTCTTTTCATCATTCACAGAGACAGTAAGGACTCAGCTTTTAATCACATCATGCCACATGCTGTTGTTTAACCACAGTAGAATACCACCAAATAGAAAGTGTATTTTTGTACAGAGATTTCAAGGCAAGAACCAGGTCAGAGAAACACGATATTGTGAAGTCAAGAGTCAGTACAAAAATTGGACATTCTGTTCCTCTCCCGTCTTAGTACTAATCATGCCTTGTAACCTGCGATGAGTAAGTGCACCCCAAATTTGCTATAGCTTTGACCATGACACTCCTCCCTGCATTCACTTTCTAAACCGTATTAAGTACCAGTTAATTAGCTTCAGTATCAAAGCAACCCCCTCTTACTACCTTTCATTCAGTGTCAAAGGATGACATCTCTTAAAACATGCAGCAGTTTCCACTGGTCACCTCTTATATTTTCGAAGTTTTTTTAATGTCTTCTTCTGTTTACCTCTCCCACTTGGGAGAGCTGTCTGTAAAAAGTGTTAGAGTTGCCTTTATAGTCTTTTGCATCCCTTATTACAAGTTCATTTTCTCAGATGCCTGTAAAAACATTTGATAATGGAAAAGCCTCCCCTGCCTAACCCCAACACTGTATCACATCATCTAGTATGGACTCATTGTTTCCCTCCACTTGCTTGTCAATTTCTACTTAGCTATCATTGTCCACCATTTGGGTAGTAAAGTCTTTGTACTACTCCTAGCAGATCTGTCTCTGGTGGAAGTCCTTTGGAACTTCTCCAGGCTTTCTTAATCAATTAAACAAGTGAACTGAGAAACCTGGGGAATCTCTTCCTAACTTCAGCAATGTAAAGGCTTCACAAGATACAGGGAAAGGGTACAAAGAAAAAGTGGATAATAGATGACATTGATATGGATGACAACACACTTAGATCCAAGGAGAAATGCTATTCAGGGCAAAGGAATATAAAAATTTCTGAACCCTGGTCAGTCATGTGGAAAACTCTTTTGCATAAATCGTAAGTATGCACCTACACTAAACAACTTTCTTGTTTTATAGAACCACAAACTCAAAAAAATCCCTGCAACATAGCTCATTTCTGAGTGTAAATATACATTTCAAATGATTCTGTTTTTCAACAGCATCATCTTAACTCTGAGGAACATAAAACAGAATCAAAAAGCAGAAATTAGAAAGGAATTAGAATTTGGTGTAAATATTAAAATGTGCCTGATAACCCACTCACTTAATACTTCTGCTACATGAACATTCCCCAGTACCACAAATATCCATCTATGGAGTGTGCGTATTATCAACTCTTTAACAAAACAAATCAACAAGAATTATAGAAAAAGGCCCTAGTATTTCATAAACATACCATTAAACTGTTGCATAAACACTCATTTGTGAGCATATGGCCACACTGGAAAGAGTAAGTCTCTTTGTGCACTCAAAGATGTTTTTGAATGACAGGTTCTCCTTACCTCGAGCACTCTTCCTGTGATATACTTTTCACAGTTGTCACATCTGATACCAAACTTTGCATGATAGTCTGTTTCACAGTATGGAACATCATCCCTAGGGAAGAACAACAGGTCATGTAGACATTGCTTTACATAGTCTTACAGATTTACTGGGAGATTATACAGCTAGAATTTGTTAATGCTTCAACACTTTATGGGGTATTTATGGACTTTCCCACTTCCCAAATGTTTGTGTTTATTAATTTTGTAAAGAACTGAATAGCTAATGAACTATTCTGGCCCCTTCAAGTCTCCTGTGATCCCACTTTCTTGCTTTGTTGCTGAATTCAGCCACCACTTCTCCCCTTGTCACAACACAGTCTCTGAGACCCTCATACCATTTGTTTTGATTATATTACTCATTAACTTCTTTCACGTGTTTCCTCCTCTTTGGAAAAGATAATTACTTGTACCTAGTATTCTTTTTCTCTTATTATCTAATTCATCTAATGTATGTATCATCTAACACTTATATGATCTAATCTTTTAGATTAGACTGCACAGAGTCATTTCTCAACTGAGTACCTTGACTGTAAGCCAAATTTTGATTAACATTTAAGTGTAATGACATTCCTGACTGGACTTGCTTAAGGACCATCCTGGATTAACCATCTCAGGAACCTGTTCCATGGAAGCCAGTAACGACTACAAGATTTCAATCTGAGCAGTAGAAGAGATCTGGCAGTATGTTCATGTGAAGAGTTATTTCACCACCACAACTGACTTAGGATAATTACAAAGCATGAAGAATAAAATTAGTGTGTTATGCCAAACCAGTCCATGATCAGACAGATTTGTTAGCAGAGACATAATTTTATTGGACATTTCCCTAGAGAAACATAGTAATCCATTTTATAGCATACAAGTTTGATTGCTTAGACTAACCTATAAGTTATCACAATAATTAATTGAATTAATTGAAGCCAAGATGTTTCCATTCTTGAGTTATTTTGTTTGGCACTTGTCTTTTTAAAAAAGGATTTCACAATAACTTTTTCATTACTATTTATGGGGTTTTTATTATTAAATAACAAGCAAGAAAAGCATTGTACCAAAATACAGCAGAGTAACATGACATTTGAGATAATGCAAAACCTTACTTAAGAACACCCTTTCATTAGATGTTATACTTGTACTAATGTAAATCCAAAGAACTTTTGAAAGTCAGTGGGACATTGTCTCTGAAACTCCATCATTTCTGGGCTCTGGTGACTGAGTTACTCAGCTGTTTAGGAAAATCTCATCACCGTATCAATACACTTCTCTGAAGCAGAAATTAATGCCAGGTGCCTTGGCCAGTGAAAGCCCTGTATCTCACCAGAGTGATACGAGCGTTGACACGGGACTTGGTCTGTGTGTGTGCTTTGCGCTGCCTCTCATTGCTGTCACCACATTCAGTCTGCATCTGACAGCACGAGGTTCTGGAGCACCACAAAAGCATGATATGTACTTCCTTAAAGAACTTTTTGAGGACATTTTTCCTTATGTGAAACACATGGAAAAGATAACATCCATTTGTTCAGATTACAGCATCACACAGAGCCAAGTCAGACATAGATAACTAAGGGCGTATCTACTGGGCTTTGAAGCACACTCCACCTATTCCCTTTTTGTAGCATTGCTGCTTTGTCCCTTCCAGGTAAAGGGATAAATTTGACTTTTACTTTTCCTCACTTCATTTCTTCTGCATCTAATACAATCTAGATAACAATATCTCATCTTTTATACACATCTAAACATACCTAAACAAAAACTAAAGGATATGCAACGGTAAAATAATTGTTTGCTATTAAAAGAATGCAGAAAACAAGTAAAAATGCACCTCAACTTACTTGCTGATGTACTCTGCATTCAGCAGCTTGCCACAGGTATTGCACTTAAAACAGCCCAAATGCCAGTGTTTGTCCAAGGCAACCAAAGACTGCCCATTTTTTATTTCTGAACCACAGCCCCCACAGTCTGCAAGAGGAAAATCCAACATGAGTGAAACACATACTTGAGAGGGTCATGCAACGATACTGGTTACTGCAGCACAAGGATCCATTGGTGTCCCAGTAACAGCTCACGCAGGCTCTACAGCTCGCTGGTGGCTGCACCCAGTGATGGGTGCAAGTGCTGCTGCCCTAACATTGCAAACAGACATGAATCATTCAAAGAAAAAACCTAATGACTTCGGTTTCTAGTGACTTAGGGTTTATTTTAATTTATTTATATGGTGTTTAAAAGAGGCAAAATTTCGCTGAAGTTTTCAAGCATTGCAAAGCAATCCAATCAAATTAATGAAAAACCTCCTAGAAGTCGTAAGATTAAAACAAATGATTGCTTCTTCATACTACACTTTGCTGCTGGATCTGGAAGCTTTACTTAATTATTTCAAAATTCTTTTTTTCAACCATGAGGAAAAAGCTAAGCTGAAAATCTGATGTGGAATTCTGTAACCAGTAAAAATACAACAGTACTTAAGAGGCATTACAAATTCCCGAGCAGTAGTGACATTATAGTACATGAAAGCGACAGCAGGCTACACAGTTATTATTTATAGAAATCCACTTATATAAAGTTCCAAAAAGTGACACCAAAAACTAAATGCAAACCATCATAACTGGATAACATTGGCTAGGCTATATCGATTAAACAGGCTGTACATGAACTAGTTATACTCCCCAGAAACAGCAATTGAAGACAAAACTTTTTGGAGGGTGTGGTTGCTTTTTTTTTTAAACGATGGATGCTTTTGATTATGCTAGCAAAAGCTAGAACTCCTCTCAGTTTCGACACCAATAGCCCACCAGTGAGTGTCCTGTTTATAGATGCTACATAGACACGGGTTTGAATCTGATTCTCTTTATCTCAGAATAATTCTCTAGTACCCTACAGTGTCCAGATTCTCATTCATTCTTTACTCTGTAGATTCTATGTATAGTTTTCTTCCAAAACCTTAAAATAGCCAGAATATGTGCAAAAATAGGGATAAATATCAATAATGAATTGATTCTAGTATAAGTATCTTGGCAATCCTTCTAATCTGCCATATATTCAATCCTAAGAGAAACCATAAATACACTTTTTATGAAGTCTTCATGTATACCAACAATTTGCTAGAAAAAACGACAAGCTCTGAAAGTCATTTGAAAAGGGATCTAGAAATGTCAGAATTGAAAAAAAAACCCACAACCCACAACAACGTCTTACATGGAAGAGAAAGATACATAAAGTATTTAAAAAGATTTATCTAGTCATTAAGAAAAACCCTAAACATAGGATCTCATTAAAATACTTAAACAGTCCTCTTAAAAACTTTCTGAATTAAAGTTCTATTTAGTTGGTTACATGACCCTAATGAGACATTCTGTTAGTGCAATTGTAAATGTTTCATTTCTGAGTGCACAACAATAAAGAATAGTTCTTATTTTCTTTTAATGGATTTGGAATGGATTAAAGGAGTAATAATATGTCTCTCTAATGTCACCCTGCAGAGCACCAATATGTGGAAACAAGCCCAGCACAAAAGCATGTGCATCACAGATCAGAACATTTGAGTTTTGCTAATAAAAGAGAACATTTGGGTATGTGCCTGGGTTTAGTCCCACAAGAGAATAAATACTGCAGTATTCAGAAATTTGCAATCATAAATTTGGTTTTGATCTCCCCTATACCAGGGGTTCTTCTGGCAAGCTAATTTAATCTCTCAATGGCTGAGGGTTTATTTCACAATCTCAGTACAACACCATGTGCTCAGATGTCATTTACCTTTCATCTGATTTAAGTTTGGGCGAGCAGAAATGCAGCATTTTGTGAGCTACTTCTTTATTCACAACTGCTTTTTTCTCCATTAAATTCCAGATAATTAAAAACAAATATTGTGGTTGCTATGTCAACTGTGCCTAGTGGTGCAACGTCCTTGCCTTCCTGTCTTGGATGCAGCACCCCTCGGTGACTCACCTACTTTCAACCAATAACTCTACAGAACACATCAATTTGCTGCTACATGTTGATATTCTTCTCTGAGTGCTCTTTCAACATCAACATTGCCACAAGAGGTTTTCCCAGCTAGCATTTTATAAATGAAACAAAACAGGTAGGTAAGTATTTATATAATAATAATAAAAAATTCAAGGACTCAGGCAAAAAGCAAATATTTGACATTCTTCATTTGTTTCAGATGTGATGCATAAAGGAGGTCAAAAACAAAGTGAGAGGATGAAAACAGAAAAAATAGTCAGAGCAGGCAGTGAGTCCCAAGAGAACACCTGAAAGCATTCTCGAGCTCGAGTCAAAGATGACTAACATACCTCATATGTATCGGGCAGTTCTGAGCCAGAAGCAAAAATACCATAAAAGGGGGTCAACATAGTACATGGTCTCTGGCTCAGCTTGCTTGTCACATGTTTTCATGTCCTACTCTTCTTTTACAAAAAAAATTTCTTCAGTTAAAATATTAAAGCTTTTCCAAGAGGATCGTTGTTTAAAGAAGGACACCCACCATTTATTGCTTTGTGTAATAACAGCTACAGACAGCCATTCTGGACTTTCAATTTTCCAGTTCAACCAAGATGTCTCTGACATTGCCTGTTTATTCCTGAAACACTGATTCTAGCCTAGCAATTACATGCTTGGTAAAGAGCTGGCATTACATATTGCTTTTTCACCTATGACATACTGATCTGAATGTTTCCCAAACTCTTAGTTATCTTTTTAGATATTTAATTTATTTTCTGTGCATTGTCATTTACCAGGCTCTTACACATCCTGCTACACATACATGCACACACCAACACATATTTGTGGCTGCAGTGCTTCTCCTTGAGCCATCAAAGCTCTATTCCCCACACCACAGAGGGATTATACCATTGCTACCCAATTTCCTGAGCACCCCAAGCTCCACAGCTCCTGTGTCAGCTGGGTGCTCCATGTCAGCATGAAAACAGAAGATGTTGGCCTGCAGCTGCACCGCAAGACACTGGGGAAATGGAGTAAGGAAAAGGTAAGAAATTATATAGTCTACACAGGTAAGGATATTTATCTGGGATCCTGGCCACATCATAGCATAATTTACTTGCAGGCCAGACATGGATTTCAGTTTGCCTTTTGAGAAGTCAGTATATCCATCAGATCACCACAATCAGTACATCATTTCAAAAGCAGAGCTGGTTAGTCTGAGGTGAAGAAGAGATCAAATTCCTTTACAAATCGAGTCTACAGTGAGCCAGGTATCATCCAAGTTTGAACCAAGACTGTTTCCACTGAAACCTACGAACGGATTTCATCCATTTCTAATGAGATTTAAAGCAGACCTGTATGTGATGTTTAAATACATATGTTCTGAGATTTTATTTGGGGAAAATAAATCTTATTTTGTTTTCTATAGCCAGGTTTTGTCACAAAGACAGGCTTCCAGTGCTGTTTCCCTTTGAGGCAAGTGGTTTGCTAAGGTTTGCAGGTACCTGTGCAGCCGGGACAATCAGTGCAGCGACCTGAGAGAGCTGGGGAAATGCAACGCAAGAAAAACTTTCCATATGTAAAGGGAAAGGGAATGTAAGTACATTAAACGATTCTGTATCACAAATAATCAAATGAACCTGTTCTGCCAGTACTCAACCAGGGAAATAATGTCCATTAAAGTCAAAGGCACTTTTCCCATATGACCAGGAGACAAACAGATGATAGGCTATTAAAGTATGGATCTGCAAATGCAGACAGACAAGACTGCTGAGGACAATCCCTCTCTGGAATAAGCGACAAGAGAACACCTTAAGAGAGAGGGCCATGCCCTCCCCAAAAAAGAACTGCATTAACAAGACAGGAATCAGCATAGCATCTCTGACTGCATTCCCACAGCAGCTTTCACTGATAAACCAGAGAAAGGACATGGTGAAAACTTCTGTAGAGAGATGCAGGGGGGAAAAAAAAACAGCAAAAAGTGAAAGATTTCTCCCTGAAGTGGGCTGGGTTCCTTATATAAAAAGATGAGCAATCTATGGGGCGCTTCCTCAGCCATGCCAAATCCAATCTAATCTGACGGGATAGTTATTAAAAAGATTTCTGTCTTTGCTATTTAATTGAATTGCTTTTGCTGTTTATTTACATAAAGACAGTGATTGACTCCCAAAGCATGGCAGCTCCTCATGAACAGATCAGCAGAGGAACAGAACTCATTGCAACAACTCTTACGGTCTGCTGACAAAAGGTGGTATGAAAAGTCCCCGATTCTTCTCTGTAGTGTTTGTAACTTCAGATAGCACATGGCAGTACTGAGGTCAAGGCAAATGTTCCTCTAGTCTTGTTGCAGATATTAACCCTTCTTGTGTAGTAGTTAGCTCATACAGTCCTGTCATTGATACTTACTGAAGCAATACTGGAACACTTACAGATCAATAAATCTCATATTGGATTTCATTTTAGCTGGAGATGCACTAAATCCTCAAAAATATTATGCTTTCTCCAAGTAATTTGATTTACTCCAGTTTTAATCAAATGTTTTGAGAGGTTCTGTTTATTGTAACCCTATAATAGCACTATTTGTGTTTCTTCTTATTATCAGACTTTCTGGAAAACTACCATATACTTTTTCACATTACTGTATTTCTTGACATCTTTTATGCAGCATAGTGGTAGAGTTCCAGTTACACATATTGGTGTAAAATTTTGTTCTTTAAACCTGTGCAGACTAAGAACTACGAAAAGAAAAGAGATCCCTACTTACTCCGCAGGTTCTGTACCGGGAAAGAGCCTGTGCTGCTGGAAGGGGGCAGGGAACATTTCTGGCAGATGCACTCCTTCCCATTAAAAGTTACCCGGTCACCCGCGGGGAAAGGCAGCCTACAAGAGAAGAAACAAAAGCAAACAGGTTACAGCCTCACACTTTTATTGAAATGAAATATCTTCCCACAAAGGAACCAAGTATTACTCTGGGTTTTTTTACTCTGCTTGTCCAGTCCTCATTCACAATTGTTCAGCCACTTCTTCAGTATCTAAAGATACAAAACCAGACAGAGCACTGAAGTCCAAATCCTTGTGTACATACGAAATGTAGTATCAGCGTTGATCACTAACAGGATCAGTTACAGAATGAAAATAAAATGGGCACTACAGGAAGTAAATACAGGCAAATGCAGCTGCTTTTTGTTGCTCAAACGCTGGTGACTTTCGGAAGTTAAAAAAATAGTCCTTGTCCTCCAAACTTTGATCACATCAAAGTTCCTCTCTTAATCCATATGCTCAGAAAGCAAATGTCGGTGATTCTCATAGGAGAAAATCTTTCTCAGTTATAAAACCCAAAGCGTCTACATTACTTGTTTGCTCTACTCAACAACAGCTCTCCTTACAGTTAATTAAATCCTTCCTTTTTAACAATGCCCTTAAAACAAAAAGCTTTCCACCATAAGCTTTGCCTGGGCACAGAAACTGCTGAGTTTTTTTCTCTAAGAGGACCAGATGGACAAATCACTTCATAATGCAGCAGAGGGTAGTGAGGATTTAGAAGCACATTTCACTCCACCCAAAGCTCATGTCCAATTAAATCCCAAGTGAGCTATGAAAATATGGCTTAAGTGGGGCACAAACATAGCACAGGCCTTCTGCCGCATGGTGAAGTCCATCCGAACAGATTATTTCATTAATATTTCATTAAAACTCTCTATGACATTCCCCCACAAACGTCATTAAATTCATACCAACTGAGAGGTTGTCTTCACTTCAAAAGCTGCACAAATAGTTCTTGCTAGGAATAAGAATATTTTGTTCCCTGAACAGACCAAGAGTGGCTTATTCTACATTTGTGTTGCATTTAAAAGAATCTTAAAAATAATCTTAAAAGTAATAAAACTTTAAAAGAAAAAAAAAAAGGGGAGTTAAATCCAGTTAGCAGGCGGTCATGAGCAGTGTTCCCTAGGTCTCAGTACTGAGGTCAGTCCTGTTTTACATTTGTATCAATGATCTGGATGATGGGATCGAGTGAACCCTTAGCAAATTTACAGATGACGCCAAGCTGGGCAGAAGCACTAATCTGCTTGAGGGTAGAGGGTCTGCATAAGGATCTAGACAGACTTCATCCATGGGCCAAGACCAACTGTATGAGTTTCAATAAGGTCAAATGCCGAGTCCTGCACTTTGGCCACAACAACCCCCAGCAGCGCTACAGACTTGGGGAGGAGTGGCTGGAGAGCTGCCAAGCAGAGAGGGACCTGGGGGTGTTGATGGAGAGTCAGCTGAATATGAGCCAGCAGTGTGCCCAGGTGGCCAAGAAGGCCAATGACATCCTGGCTTGTATCAGGAATAGTGTGGTCAGCA